ACACATGTGCACACTCATGTTAACACACGTGCACATGCTCTCACACACACGTGTACACTCACACGCACACACCGGCAGGCACACTCATACTGCACACATACAACTCACAGGTGCACACACAACCACACACATGAACACACGTGCACTCACACCCACACACCAACACACATGCACACACAATTCACACACTCGTGTTAACACACGTGCACACGCTCACAGACACACATGTACACTCACGTTCACAGGCACACACACAGGCACTCCCACACCACACACACACACGATTCACAGGCATAGACACACACTCACACGTTGACGCACACACACTGATAGGCACACTCACATGATTCAGACACACGTGTACACACACAGCTACATTCACATGCACATTCACGCCGGCTCAGCACACACACGCACCCCAGCTCTGCGGATGGAACCTGGCCTGTGGAGTGGCTCTGTGCCACAACAGCTCTAAGGCGGGTGGCGTGGGGGGCGGGGGATAACCCCCCTCACACCGGTGGGAAAGTCCCGGGGGCGGCGTGTCCGCCTGGGGGGCTGCAGGCCTGGCCTTACCTGCCGCCTCGGGCCGCCCGCCACGCCCACAGGTCCTTCTCACAGGCGCTCCACAGTCACCCACCAGTGGTCGGTTCAGAGTCTCCTGCCGTCTTCGGGCTACTGCCCAGCTCTTTCATCCCGTGGTTCTGCCCCCCCAAAAGTGCATCTCACAGTTGGTCCCCGGCCGCGCGCTTTGTGTGTGTGGAAGTTGGGTCACTCACCCTGACTTCCTGGGCGCCGGGGCAGCCCCTGCCTGGACAGGGCCCGGCCACCTGTGTCCCAGGTTACCGGACAGGCTCGGCCACCCAAGCCACGGAGCGTCCCCGTGTCTCCTCCCTCAGGTTACCCCCGAGGAGGCCCTGACTGCCCACAGGCGACGCGGTGAGAGGACCCCATTTGCGGGAGCCGGGCCCCAGGTTTCAGGCCGTGGCGGCTGTTGAGAGATTTAAAACCGGAGCACCCCGTGCTCCTTATAGAATGTTTGCATTCGAATGTCACTTATGACCTTGACCCTGCCCTGGAAATGCAGCTGAAGGGGGAGCAGCAGAGAGGAAGGTCTCCTACCGCCAGGAGGCGCAGCGCCCCGCTCCTGTCTCCTTCCCCTTTGAAATGACGGAGTCCGTGACCCCCCGCCCCGGGTCAGCTCACCACGCTCGGTGCAGGGACCGTCCACCAGTCTCGGGCGAGCGGCCCACGCCTCCGTGGAGGCTGCGCCCAGGGCCCTCGCCTGGCTCACGTGCCCTGTGGCAACTCCATCGCCTCACCCCAAACGCTCTCCACGCCGCGCTGACCGGCACACGGCAGGGATAGCGCTGGGGACTGCTGACCACAGCGGTCGCAGGACCTGGCTTGGGGCGGACTGGCGGCCTCGCCACGCTGCCCGGGCTGCGTCCACTGCACTTCCCCTGTGCGCGTGAGCCAGGCGCTGTGGGCTCACGACGGGTGTTGGTGACTTCGGGCGGTGGGTCCGCGGCGGGGCGTGGAAGCGCGGGGCTCACTGGGCCTCTGCCATGGCGGCCTCGGAGCCCGGCC